ACTGCAATTGCACAATCACAAGCTTGCCCAAAGGATGATGCAAAAAAGGAAGCGTTCGCAGTGGAAAGGCGCTATTTCACAATGCCGAGGTTTACAGCAGATAGCAGAGTATGTATTTCTGACCGACGTGTAAACAGGCCACAGTTTTCGAAGCCGTCCTTCAATTCAGAGGCAAGGGAAGCGTATTTCTTCAGGCCATTGGGCGATTGAAGTATAAGTCTGAAAACACCAAGGCTAGCGTACAGTAGAACCAACTTGATACTGTGGAAAGGGGCGAAAGCAGAGACCCTGTGCGAAAAAAAAACAGTCAGGCATGAAACAAGACGTACCTTGAGGCAAGATCAAGAGAACGGTCGAGAGTCTTCAGTCGGGTGGAAGAACAAGAGGGGATGGGTGGCGGGGAGGACTGTCTCGAAGTTGACGCGAGTAATGCCTGACGATTGAGGTATTCGACTTGGCTGGAGAACCACACGAGAGCATCCAATTGATAACCTGCAGAAGCGACAGGAATGGCAGCGGGAGTTGCATCATCGTTCTGTCCCGTGTCCGTCGCCAGAAAATCGCTGGAACCACCAACCCACAATGACAAACGCAACTGGTTTGTTGATTCCACTGAGTGCGCTTTCCGTCTGGAGTGATCATTTTGGGCGTCGCTGGTGCAACCATCTTGGTTGGAAGCTGTGGAAGAAGAGGGGGAACCGGCGGTGACGGAACTTTCTGCGGCAGCCGAAACACTGGCGCCCCTGGCAGAGTCAATACAACTGGAGGGCATAAGCTTCGAGAAGGCCGACGGCGCTGTCGATGAGGGCTTCATGGTGTGTGGTGGCTGCCACTTTGAGGGACTTATCTGCATCCCGAGAGCGTCCACAGCGTCAAAAATCCATATTCGAAACCAGCGTCCATCCTGGATAAAGGCGTGTAAGATAAATGACAGTGAGAAGAACAAGAGGGTCACGCAGGCGTGAAAAATCCTCTGGCCTGCGAGGAAGCAAAGTATTTTTATCCACTGCCTCCAAATGGATACTTAACTCGCGGTAAATTGAGCTGTCACGTAAATAAACCAATAGAAGAAAGGACAAGATAGAAAAGAGAAATGGAAACAGTGGGTGGATAATTCCGTTGAGTTTTGAAGTGCCCTCGGCGGTTCAACCGATCTCTGGCCTGGATAAATGACTGCGTGTAATTGTGTTGAACATCGACGACCGATAAACACGTTAAACTGACTCAATGGAGGAAGAGGATACAAACTCACGCGGAATCGTTGACAAAGCAGCATATAAATAACCTATTTAAATTGGGCGATTGCAGCTCATTGGCTGGTCGGCAATTAATTATTGGCAGCCCAGTGCGTTAACCCCCTGTGGATACCAGCCCGCTAAACTTATTTTCCGTTGCACAAACCCTATCTTTCCTAGCCAACAGTGAAACTCTAAAAAAGGAATTAAAAACAAAACAAAACAAAAAGTATGCCTAGGCCCAGTGATCTCTCGGTAGGTTGTGGCACCTCTATGGGCAGCGCATAGCAGTTTGATGATTATTGTGATGGATTTTCGGGATAAGGAGAACAAGGAAAAGAAAATGTAGAAGAAAGGCTGTGACAGATTAAAGGAAGGATCGAGTCAAAGGATAACTTCCACCCACTACTACCAACTTATTGTCCGGTCCTATTTAATGGCGGCCCATGGCCGCCTAGTCACCGCGCCATCAGTGGACACTGCAGCATTTAATAAGGTAGTCAAACCTTCGACCTTCGTACCATGGTAGCACTGCGGCTGCTTTTTGTCAGACAAGAGTTCGCTAATTTTGCAGCTAGACCTCGATGAGCGCTCCTTCAGAATCCACCGCAGAGGAGGTTTCGGGGGCTCCGTGGATAGGTTAACGAGCGCACCCGCTTGTGGGGGGGGGCATAGATACACGAAGAAAACACTTTCGGAACTGAAACAAACGCAACTTGTTTCGGTTCCGTCCACGTTTCAGTTTGGATCCCTTACAATGTGCCCAGTTTGCTTGTCTTAAAGGTCAAGCCTACATGCAAATGAAGTAACAAGACATATCATGATTTCCGCCCCCAGAAAAGCATTAAAAGATGGCTAAACTACCATAAGATATTAGAGTAATGTTATGGTAAAAAAAGCTGGTTATTTTGGTAAACTCGTACAAGTGGACTTTTACGAACTGAGCTCTTTTATCACTAGCGGATGAACAATAAACACAATATTCTGTATATGTGCAAGATTCGCAGCTGAATGAATTCGATCGTGTCTCAAAAGCCTATTAAAAGTAAATTACCGAGAGAATGATTTCTGTCCACAATTACGTTAACTATTGTGTGAAATATAAACAACCTAAGCAAAGTACATCAACCGCAACGCACAGTTAAATAGCATGAAAAACATAAAACGGATAAAACAGTGAATTACAGTAGACAGATTAACAGTAAAAATTGCATTTCGTGACAAAAAAACCAAAACCAGACACTCAGCAGGCCAAATTAAAACTAACCGCCAACTGGAATCTATCGAGCCGACACTTTGCATGAAGGAGAGATCTGAGGCTAGAGGCCTGAGGACCATGAAGGAAAAGCAGGAGAAGGGGTTGAAAGGCGCCTGAATCCTCCGTCGTGAGGGAAAGAATCTCAGGGTTCGCGTCAGAGACTGCTGACTGGAGCAGTGGTCGATGAAGCTGATGATTGTGTGCTCGGTGGCTCCGATCGAGAACCCCGGCAGTTGGGATGACTGATGCATTCGTAGGTAAATTTGATTTCGATAAGATAAAATGAGGGAGGGGCGAGGGTGTGATTGTTGTCTCGCAGAAACCCACATCTACGTTGATCGACACTGGTGATACATTGGTGGTCGTTGTGGCGGACATGGCAGCCGGTGAAGCCGTTCCGACTTGCAGTTGTGTCATACCATGCACACACTGTCGAGTCAGAAAAAGTAAGTGGATGGGTCAAATCGGTTACCCGGTCATACAGAGGGATAGAATCGAGAAAACTTACAGGTCTGAGCGTTTCGCTAGTACCTGTGTTGTTATTATTATAAATCAGGCAACCCTGTCCGTGCATGTATAAAGATATATTCTACCGAGAAAAACAAAAACCTAACCTCAAGACGTAAGCAGTGTTGAGTACAACTAGCATCAGCAGGTAGTCCTCCCGTTAAGAGGGTATCATTTTTGACAGCCTTGTCAGTAAACAATGTTACTGTTATCTCTGACGATGGACTGAGGTACAAATTTGAAAGCTGATAAAAATAAATCAATGGTTCCGGTACGCAACCAGACTGTTCCTGTTTCTTATTTACGCATACATCTGGCATTCGCCTGCAAAGGTGAATTTGAAGGAAGCATTGACGAGCATTAATTCGAACTACGAACTGTTGTGTTGAGAAATCGTGCTAACTACTTGTTAAGGCCCCTTTCAAAAGTATACACCCTGACAACCGGCAAGACATCGACCCGTTGGCTCAGTGGATAGGACGTTCGTCTCTAGCTCACTGGTCGCGGGTTCGAAACTAGAGTGTAGCGGCCGTTTCCGTGGCTATACTGGAGTCGGGTAACCACAGATGACGACGGCTAATGAGCCAGAAATACGCGTATCTCGCAGTCCTGACGTTTGCCGGCAATACATTGGTTAAACCCTGATATATTTGCTACCGTGAAAGTTTCTACGAGAGGGGAGACACTTGTAGTTAGCAGAGGTTAATTACGAGTAACAAAGTAAAATGAACATCCAGTGCACTATCGTTACAAAATAGCGATGCAGTGCTCTGATAGGCCGCCGGGTAACCAAAAACCGCGTCTTGTATACACGTCTACAACATCCAAACGAAATTCCTGTTGATCTAGTCGCGGGACTGGCTGGATAAGTGACTTTATTTTCATCAAGAATAAGAATGCATGCCGGAGTGTGGTGTTCAGTGAGAAAATGCACGAAGGAGTGGGACACAACTGTATTATGTCCATGGAAGTTGGTTGACCATTTAAACATCTGATGGAAGGATCAATATTACCGAGAGCAGTAAAAATGTAACCAAGTCCAGACATGCACTTACAGTGCTTTAAGAAAAAGACATCAAATTGAGGTAAAAGAGCAACTACTAATGAGATAATAGTGATACGCTCAGGGATGGTAACCAGGGAAAAATAAGTTTAAAATTACGATGCCAAGTCCGGGGTCCGCATCTTCATTAACAGGGAGGTCATAAGTTAGATCTTCAGAGACACAGGACGAAGCGGGCTGGTAAAACAGTTTCGAGTTGTCTTGTAAATGCATAGTATTCGTGTCTGCATAGAGGGAGGATATTGTATCCATTTTTCGACCATTCTTTCTGGTACTAAAAATTGAAAATAGTAAATGCACCTATTAGTCGACAGCTAACGTGTTATCTATAAATATGGGATTACGAACATACGGGATCTATTCCAAAGTAATCCACCTTTTATTTTGAAGTGTTCTTACTCCAGCGAAAAGGAGAAAATTATTGAAAGCGAGGTACCTGATGCTGCAGCAACAGTCTTTGACAGAGATGACGCGACAGAAAGAACACTGTATCCACACATTATTCAGACTCAAGCCTGGTTAGACAGTTTTATTATGTTTTGAAAAAAGCGCACAGACTAAGTCCGTAGAATTGGCGATCGCGAAAAAAAAACAGAACAGAAACAATTTCTGGTTTTAAAAACTCATAACCTACTAAGGACAGGTTTTACCTACGGGTAACAAGTGTACATATACGTTAAGGTCGTCCCGACAGACATTAGTTCGTAGATTCGATAGCAATAATGGTAATCGTCAGAATAATAGTGGTTGTGGTACTGACATTATTGTCAGTAGAAGGGGGTGCAGCATTCCTGTTTTTTAACACACTGGTCACACTAAGCCCAAGTAGACAATGCAGCGACTGCTACTTTGAATGGTACGAAGAAAATATTGGTCAGTTGACAAGCGGGTGGCGCCCGCACAACTAAAAAAAGGCAATGTACTAATGTCTATTACTTCTGTCTTCATCGAACATAGGCGAACGACTAATATAATAAGGGTACTGTCGAGTTCTATTTACAAGGACTAGCTAGAAAAATTCCCTAGCTGTAATTTCAGTAGTGGCCATTTCGGACGAGGTGTATTTCCTAACAACCACGCTGTCAGCCGCGCCGGCCAAATGTCTCGATGCGATAACGGCGATGGAGTTCGAACATCCTTATTAAAACCGATTCCTTGATATTTATGCCTACTGCGTTTCATTAATGAGAATAAAGCAGTAGCGATCCGAGGTTTCGACTTTAGTACAATAGGCCACAACAATATGCGATATTGTAAAACGACAAACTGGTCCACTAAGTGAGTGATAAATCTACGCTAGCTTTGTCCACGGTGTGAGTATGCTTCTGTTGCTGACGGCCTGGCAAATTCGAACGCGAAAGCCAATGCCTGTAACGCCTCCGTAACACTGACAGCCAGCAGATCGCAGCGTCTATCTTTCACAAAGTTTAAATGCCGAAAGATTCGGGGTCCAGATATGTCATCGCGTTCATCAT